AGGCCGAGCCGGAGGCGGCGGCGGCCGTGCGGCCGGCGGCCGCGGGGCCCGAGGAGGAGGCGCGGCCGCTGCCCGCCGTGTGCGCGTCGCCGCTGCGGGGCATGTGGCGGGCGGAGAAGGTGGCGCTGTACTGCGACGCGGTGCTGCTGGGCTGCCAGGTGCGGACGCGCGGCCGGGGCCGGGCCGCCTGCGGGGGCGCCGCGGCGGGGGCCCGCGCTCGTCGGTGTGGGCGCTCCTGCGGGGGCTCCGTGGCCGTGGCAGCAAGCAGGGGAGCGGGCCGCTTGTGCCGGACACGCGAGTGCGTGACCACCCTTCCTCCTGAGCGCTCCAGAGGGGTGGGCGTTGCGCACAGTCGTCAAGACGCGCCCCCCCCGGGGGGGGGCAGAGTGCCCGGCTTCCCCGCTGCCCTCCCCGCTCACGCACACCCGGGGAGGCCGCGGGCCGGGGGGCCCAGGGAGATCCCCGGAGCTCCTGGCTCCTTCCTGGCCCAGACCCGCTGTTGGGAGCATTTGGGGGGCGGCCCAGTGGACTCTCTCTCTCTCTTTCTCTCTCTCTCTGCCTTGCAAATACATTTTTTTAGAATAAGTATTTAAGGTAATTTTTAAAATAAAGATTATTTGAGAGGCAGAGCAAGAGCGAGAGCGAACTTCACCTGCTGGTTCACTCCCAAATGCCCCCCACAGCAGGGGCTGGGCCAGGCTGAAGCCGGGAGCCTGGGCAAGCACTCAAGCCCGGGTCTGCTGCCTGCCAGGGTGCGGTCACCGGTAGGCTGGAGCAGGGGCAGGGGCAGGGGCAGGGGAGGGAGAGGGGGAGGGGCAGAGGAGGAGCAGGGCAGGGGCAGGGGGATGGGGCAGGGCAGGGGCAGGGGGATGGGGCAGGGCAGGGGAAGGGGAGGGGCAAGGGGAGGAGCAGGGCAGGGGAGGGGCAGGGCAGGCCCAGGCCCAGGCCCAGGCCCAGGCGCCGCCCCTCCCAGGCACTCCCGTGGGACGCAGGCTCCCAGGAGGCAGCTTACCCGCTGTGCCAGAGCCCGCCCCAGAGTGTGACCTTAAGGTTTTATACAGCAGAATGTGTTAGGTCGGTCATTACACAAGGTTAGGAAAGAGTTAATTGGCATGTGTTTAAATAATTAGCGTTTTAATAGGTGGTTATGCTCCTTCTGCTCGGGGTACAGTGACGAGCACGCGGGGACTTTGTCAGCACACGCGTGCTTTGTCGGCGTATGGTGTCCCGTGTCCACACGCGTGTTTCCTTCCGTAAGGCGGAAGACGTGGACGAGGCTATGAGCAAGTACCTGTCGGGAAAGCTGGCGCAGAAGGAGAAGTGGCTGGGCGTCTGGAAGACCAACCCGGAGCTGTTCTTTGTGCAGTTTGAGGAGGCGTCGCTCCCGTTCGTGGGCATCCTGGTCGAGGTACGGCCGTCGCACTTGGTCTCGGCGCGGGCGTGGGCGCGGGCCCTGGCTGCGTGGTCGGAGCCGGCAGCCGCGGGCAGGGGACACGGCCCAGGTCGCCGGGTGACAGGCGGCTCTGGCTAAAACCGCGCGGTTCTTCCCCTTCGAGGCCCCGCCTCGGCGCCTGCTTTGTGGGCTCTGTGGCTCGCGCTCGTGGCCTGCGGGACGCCGTGGTGTGTACGAGGCGCTGACACGGAGGCACCCGCCCCGGCGGGTCACCGCGGCAGTTCTGGCCTCAGGGAAAACTTTGAAACCCGCTGCGTCAGGCACCGGGGAGAAAGTGGGGAACACGTGTTCCGTGGGACACACGAGGGCGCGCTTTCAGGCACGGGTGGGTGCTGACTGCCAGCCGCGGGCTCAGCCTGGAGTGTCCGTAGCTCTTCCTCCACCGGCCGGGGTGAGAGGCCGTGGGCTCTGCGTGCGTCAGGGGCTCTGAGCTGCCCACAGGCTGAGCTCGGGCCTCTTTGCGAGCGCGTTTCTGTGGCCGCCTGGCGACCCCGGCCGAGCGGCCGAGCGGCCGAGCCCTGGGCCCCGAGCAGCTTTTCCGCCCTGAAGCTCCGTGGCGACCCCTGGCCGCGCCAGACTTCTCTGAAAACAGAGAACACAGACGCCCAGGCTGTGCCGGCGCGGAAGGAAGGTGAGAGGAAGGCGAGTGAGGAGACGCCGTGTGGCAGCGAGGTCCAGGACTTTTCTGTGGTCCCTGTACAAAGCAGCCTGGCAAACTGCATCAAGAACTTTCACACAGTTCACCCTGGGGGCCGGCGCTGTGGCGTGGCCGGTCAAGCTGCCACCTGCAGAGCTGGCATCCCATGTGGGGGCCGGTTCTAGTCCCAGCTGCTCCACTTCCGATCCAGCTCTCTGCTGTGGCCTGGGAGAGCGGTGGAGGATGGCCCAGGTCCTTGGGCCCCTGCACCCGCGTGGGAGACCAGTGCTGAAGCCAGTTGAAGAGTGAGCCAGTGGATGGAAAATCTTTAACGCTGCCTTTCAAATAAATAAATCCCTAAAAAAGAAATCTGACTCTCGAGTTTGAGTGGTGTTTATGTTCGTTGACGAGGCGCAGGGAGTCTGACTTGGGGTGGGAGGCCTGTGCGGTTACGTCCCAGTTCTGGGTGGGAGGAAGCGTGGAGCGGGGCTGCCCTGCGCCAGCGCTGCCTCCTGTCGCTCACCTGGACGGATCACGAGGCCTTGACGTCCCCCCGGGAACTGCCCGCCTGGAACTCTGCCTCCCCGTCTCCAGGGTGCGCGAAATACCTCAGCTCCTCACTCACGCTGCGGTGTGTGTTCTGGGTTTACCAGAGCTGAACAGGCACGGAGGCAGAACTTGGCTGTGAACTTCACAGCCGCCGGCACTCCTGGCTGCCCACTTCTCCAGCAGCGGCAGTGTCCGCCCGCCGGGGCACTGGCTCCTGCGTGCAGGCAGCGTGCTCCTGGTCCCCTGCGGGCCGGGCCCTGGAGTGGGGGCCCCGCCCTTCCTCCCACGCCCTCCCCCCCCCCCCCCGCCCTGCTCACTCCCGAGTCTTCCACCAGGCTCCTGGCTTCCGATCGCCCAGCTCCAGCCATGGCTGCCATTTGGGGAGTGAACCAGTGGATGGAGGACCTCTCTCGACCTCTGTCTCTCTCTCAGCCTCTCTGTAACTCTGCCTTTTAAAGAAATAAATAAATCTTTAAAAAAGAGAGAGAGAGGGAGAGAGCTGGGAAGGAGCTGGCGACGGCAGAGCAGCCGCAGCGAGCACGCGGGCTTCGCTCCAAGCAGGAGCAGGCAGCGGGCCGAACGGCCGGGGAGAACGGGGTGGCTGGGAAGGGACGCCCGCTTCCCAGAGCCTCAGGGGACTTCGCAGAGTTGGAAGGCGACTGGCGCGTCAGCATCGTCCCTGACTGTTGGCCACGCTGACTATTGGAGAAATGATCAAAGGTCGCAGCCAGCTGCGGGCCCGGCCTCGCTGACCCGTGTCTCTGTCGCAGGTCACCTGCCGGCCGCGCCAGAGCTCCTCGCCCTGCTTCAAGGTGGCCGTCTCGGTGGCCGAGCCCTTCTCCTCCAACATCGCCAACATCCCGAGGGAGGCGGTGGACGAGGTGCTGGCGGAGCTGGCGCAGAGCGTGCCGCTGCTGGAGGTGTACCCCGTGGAGGGGCAGGACGCCGCCGTGGGCGACATCGCCCTGGCCTTGGAGGTCGTGAGGTAGGGGCGCCCCGCCTCGCGCCCGAGCCCCGGCTCTGCCGGCTCGGCTCCCTCATGCGCAGGTTAGGTGAACACATCGGCAAAGCAGCATATGTAAGGTTAACTAAGAGCTTCCCATTTCTGACTGCATTTCACAGAACTTGGATTTAAGTGACGTGGACTCTTCTCCCACGTGAGCCTCTCTGCTGAGCTGGATCTCACTGTTCACGTTTAGAGGCCTCATGGGTCCGCGTGGCAGGCCCTCCCCGTGGCCGGGTCCGCGTGGCAGGCCCTCCCCGTGGCCGGGTCCGCGTGGCAGGCACTCCCCGTGGCCGGGTCCGCGTGGCAGGCCCTCCCCGTGGCCGGGTCCGCGTGGCAGGCTCTCCCCGTGGCCGGGTCCGCGTGGCAGGCCCTCCCCGTGGCCGGGTCCGCGTGGCAGGCACTCTGTGGCCGCATCTGTGTGGCAGGCACTCCCCGTGGCCGGGTCCGCGTGGCAGGCTCTCCCCGTGGCCGGGTCCGCGTGGCAGGCTCTCCCCGTGGCCGGGTCTGCAGCGCAGCGGGGCAGCTGTCGATGGCTGTCCTCCATGTGCTTCCTCGCAGGTTCTTCTACGACTTTCTCTGGAGAGACTGGGACGAGGAGGAGGGCTGCGAGAACTACACGGCCCTGATTGAGGAGCGGATCAACCTGTAAGTGGGGGCGGGCGGGCGGCGCGCGCCGGGGAGGGGCCGACGTGCGGGTGCCTTGCAGGTGTTGCGACATGGAGGACGGCACGATCCCCGGGCCCATCGCGCAGCGGTTCCGGAAGACCCTGGACAAGTACAAGAGCAAGCGCGCGGAGCTCATCGAGTACCAGGGCAGCATCAAGGACGACCCGTCGGCCGCGGAGGCCGTCGAGTGCTGGAAGAAGTACTACGAGATCGTGATGCTCTGCGGGCTGCTGAAGACGTGGGAGGACCTGCGGCTGCGGTGGGTGCGGGCGTGCGCGGCTGCGGGGGTGCGCGGTGCTGCGGGGGGGGGGTGCGGGGCGCTGCGGGGGTGCGCGGTGCTGCGGGGGGGTGCGGGGCGCTGCGGGGGCTGCGGGGGTGCGCAGCTGCGGAGGGTGCGCTAAGGCTGCAGTTGGGTGCACGGCTTCGGTGGGTGCGGGGCGCTGCGGGGGGGGTGCGGGGCACTGCAGGGGGTGCGCGGCTGCGGGGGTGCGCGGTGCTGCGGGGGGGGCGGGGCGCTGCGGGGGGTGCGGGGCACTGCAGGGGTGCGCGGCTGCGGAGGGTGCGCGGTGCTGCGGGGGGGGCGGGGCGCTGCGGGGGTGCGCGGCTGCGGGGGTGCGCGGCTGCGGAGGGTGCACTAAGGCTGCGGTTGGGTGCGCGGCTTCGGTGCATGGTGGGTGTGGGGCGCTGCGGGGGGTGCGCGGAGGCTGTGGTTGGGTGCGGGGGGGTGCGCGTCTGCCCTTGGTGCGGGGCGCTGTGGGGGGTGCGCGGCTGCGGTGGGTGCCCGGTGGCTGCAGCGGGTGCGGGGCAGGTGCACCGGGTGCGGCGGGTGCGCACTGGGCCCAGGTCGGCTGTACACTTGGACATCCCACGAGCTTCGTATCTCTGCTAACTGAACACGCTGAAATCAGTGTGGGGCGGTCTTTCTTGACCAAAGATGCGCTCCTGAACCCAGCCCTTTTCTGATCTTTGATTCTGGGCCGGGGCACAAGTGGGCAGGAGCTCCCCCACCCCGCCGTGTCCCCGGGGAAGTGGCTGGGCTCAGCCCCGCAGCGCCTCTTACCAACACAGCACCGGACGTCCTTCTGATGAGAAACGACAGATGCAGGTTTAACCAGGACGCTGGAAACGGCTTCCGGGCGCCGCCGGGGGCGAGCGGGGAGCGCCTCCCAAGCCGCCCAGGAGCTGTGGGCCCAGAGCTTTCCGTGTGCCCCTCTCTGACCACGAAGCTGCCCATCTGCTGCCCACGGTACGCACTGGGGCCGCTGGGAGACACACAGGAGGCTCAGTCACCCCCAGGAAGGCGTCCGTGAGCCCAGAGGAGCGCGAGCTGCCATGTCATCCCCACGTCCTCGTGGCGTGAAGCAACACAGATGCCTCTCGTCCCGAAACTCGCCATGGGCCGTCCGGTCCCGGGAATGGTGGAGTGGCTGACCGCGCACACCTCTGCCCGAAAACCGGTCTAAAGGCAGACGGGACACAGCAGGGCCTGCAGCTCTGCAAGGCGCTCCGCGCCGGGGCAGCGCCGGGCAGTTCCTCCTTGGGGGAGGATGTGGGGACCTGTGGCGACCCCGGGGTTCTCCCGGCTGCGGCAGAGAAGGTGGGGGGCAGGGAGTTAGGCTGCAGAGAGCCGGGAGCTGCGAGGGGCTTGGCTGCCAGGTGCAAAGTGCAACCGCAGTCCTCAGACATCACATGGCCAGGGCTGCCAGGGCGGTCGCAGTCCTCAAAATCCCCCTTCAGCCCCATGTTAATAAACGTGCGAAGAAGCCGGAGACTTAGGGCCGGTGCCGTGGCTCTCTTGGTTAATCCTCTGCCTGCAGCACCGGCATCCCATATGGGCACCGGGTTCTAGTCTCGGTTGCTCCTCTTCCAGTCCAGCTCTCTGCTGTGGCCCGGGAAGGCAGTGGAGGATGGCCCAAGTGCTTGGGCCCTGCACCTGCATGGGAGACCAGGAGGAGGCACCTGAACCAACGGAACCAACGGAAGGAAGACCTTTCTCTGTCTCTGTCTCTCACTGTTTAACTCTGTCTGTCAAATAAAAAAAATAATAAAATAAATTAAAAAAAGAAAAGAAAAGAAGCCGGAGACTTAGACCCGCGCTCAGGACAGGAGCTGAGAGGGGCGGATGTTGGATTTGTTGAAGGTTTCAGAGCATTTACGTCAATCTGTTTAAGGAATGGAAGGAAAGCATGATTGTGGAAATCAGGAAAATACAGTCAGCAAACACAGGGAATTCGAAGAGAAGCGAAGACTGACAAAGGGGGCTGGTGTTACAGCGGAGCTGATCCAGCTGCCCCCTGTGGCGTCGCATCCCATGAGGGTGCCGGTTCAAATCCCGCTGCCCCTCTTCCGATCCAGTTCCCTGCGGTGGCCTGGGAAAGCAGCAGAAGATGGCCCAAGCGTGGGGGGCCCTGCACCCGCGTGGGAGGCCCGGAAGAAGCTCCTGGCTCCTGGCTTTGGCCTGGCCCAGCCCCGTCTGTTGCGGCCATTTAGGGAGTGAATCAGCAGATGGAAGACCTCTCTCTCTCTAACTCTCCTTTCAAATAAAGCTGTTTTAAAAAGTACAAAACTATGAGAAAGAATCAAAGATTTTAGGATTCAGCTCTGAAATGCAAAGCGCTCACGAGGCAGCACTGAGGTCCTGGGCAGCCTGGCCGACTGCTGGCTGGACTGTTAGGAAACTCGACCCCGTTCACCGTGCCGCCTCACGGCGGTGAGAGCAACCGTCCAGGAAGCTAGATGCAGTGGCGACGCGGGTCAGGAGGGGCCTGCCAGCGCAGGTGGGCCGTGGGAACCAGGGCTACTTGTGAGGGAGGAAGCCAGAGTGACAGCCTCACAGGAGGTAAAGGACAGCGGGAGGGGCCGAGCCCAGCTGCGGAGACTTCCCGGAGGGAACGAGGGACGGGAGAGAGGCAGACAGCAGCCCTGTCGTGCGCTTTCTACCGAGATCCTGGAGAGGGCGCGTGATGGAGCTCGCCAGGGCCGAGTTTTCCGACGTCAGATACGACAGCGGCGCACAGATGCAGCAGGCCCGGGGGCCCTCACACGCTCCTGCCTGACCTCAGGCCTCCCCGCTTGCAGAGCTATGAGAAAAGAATTCCTGGGGCCGGCGCTGTGGCGAGGCGGGCAATGCCGCCTGCAGTGCCGACACCCCATGTGGGCGCCGGTTCTAGTCCTGGCTGCTCCTCTTCTGACCCAGCTCCCTGCTGTGGCCTGGGAAGGCAGAAGATGGCCCAAGTCCTTGGGCCCCTGCACCCATGTGGGAGACCTGGAAGAAGCTCCTGGCTTCGGATTGGCGCAGCTTTGCCGTTATGGCCATCTGGGGACTGAACCAGCAGATAGAAGACCTCTCTCTCTCTCTCTCTCTCACTCTGCCTTTTAAATAAATAAGTGAATATGCAAGGTTTGGAACTGCAGTCCAGTATTATACCTGGAAACATCAGCATCTGTTTTTCAGCAACTGATAGACCAGGCAGACATGAACTAAGGAAGGTGGTGGTTGATCTGAGCGGCCTTGTCCATCAGGGTGACATCTCTGAGTCACTGAGCGGCCTTGTCTACAGGGTGACACCTGTAGAGTGAGTCATGGGCGGCCTTGTCCGTCAGGGTGACACCTGTAGAGTCAGTCACTGGGCGGCCTTGTCCATCAGGGTGACATCTCTGAGTCACTGGGTGGCCTTGTCCATCAGGGTGACACCTGTAGAGTCAGTCACTGGGTGGCCTTGTCTGTCAGAGTGACACCTGTAGAGTCAGTCCCTTGGGTGGCCTTGTCCATCAGGGTGACACCTGTAGAGTGAGTCATGGGCGGCCTTGTCCGTCAGGGTGACACCTGTAGAGTCAGTCACTGGGTGGCCTTGTCCGTCAGGGTGACACCTGTAGAGTCAGTCACTGGGCGGCCTTGTCCGTCAGGGTGACACCTGTAGAGTCAGTCACTGGGCGGCCTTGTCCGTCAGGGTGACACCTGTAGAGTCAGTCACTTGGGTGGCCTTGTCCATCAGGGTGACACCTGTAGAGTGAGTCATGGGCGGCCTTGTCCGTCAGGGTGACACCTGTAGAGTCAGTCACTGGGCGGCCTTGTCCATCAGGGTGACATCTCTGAGTCACTGGGTGGCCTTGTCCATCAGGGTGACACCTGTAGAGTCAGTCACTGGGTGGCCTTGTCTGTCAGAGTGACACCTGTAGAGTCAGTCCCTTGGGTGGCCTTGTCCATCAGGGTGACACCTGTAGAGTGAGTCATGGGCGGCCTTGTCCGTCAGGGTGACACCTGTAGAGTCAGTCACTGGGTGGCCTTGTCCGTCAGGGTGACACCTGTAGAGTCAGTCACTCGGCGGCCTTGTCCGTCAGGGTGACACCCGTAGAGTGAGTCACTGGGCGGCCTTGTCCATCAGGGTGACACCTGTAGAGTGAGTCATGGGCGGCCTTGTCCGTCAAGGTGACACCTGTAGAGTGAGTCATGGGCTGCCTTGTCAGGGTGACATCTCTGTCAGTCACTGGGCGGAAACAGGATACACAGTCTTCTCACACTCTACAGGACTTTTACCTAGAGGCTCATCTTTTGGGCCATGAAACTCAACTCAACAAATTTAAAAGAATAGAATATATATTCTCAGAATACAGTGGAATGAAAGGAAATCACCAACAGAAAAATAGCAGCAAAATTTCCTAAATATGTGGATTTTAACATTCTTACATAACACACGAGTCAAAGAAGTCTCAATATAAATAAAAGTTTAAGTGAAAATACCAAAATTTTGCGATGCAGAAAAAGCCTTTGGGAGGTAATTAACAGCTGTAATGCGTAGACGATAGGACTTCAAAAGGTTCCTGAGAGCCCAGATTAAAAGCTATGCAGGAATTCAAACTCTTGCACCAAAATAACAGATTTAATTTCATGAGCTTACTGAAGTATTCTCATATTAGAACAGAGAGAAGCAACCGGTGCTGTGGCACAGTGGGTTAACGCCCTGGCCTGAAGCACCAGCATCCTATATGGGCGCTGGTTCTAGTCCCGGCTGCTCCACTTCCGATCCAGCTCTCTGCTGTGGCCTGGGAAAGCAATAGAAGATGGCCCAAGTGCTTGGGCCCTGCACCCACGTAGGAGACCTGAAAGAAGCTCCTGGCTCCTGGCTTCGGATCGGCACAGCTCTGGCCATTGCGGCCAAGTGGGGAGTGAATCAGTGAATGGAAGACCTCTCTCTCTCTCTCTACCTCTCCTTCTCTCTCTGTGTAGCTCTTTGAAATAAATAAATCTTAAAAAAAAAAAGAAGACATGAACTCAATAACCCAAGCTTCCACTTGAGGAATTAGAGAAAGAACAGTTAAAACCCAAAGCAGGCAGAAGAAAGGGGATAAAAATTAGAGCCGAGATGAATGAGCTGAGAACAGGAAAACATGGGAGAAAAACTGCTGAGCCAAAGCCGCTTCCTTGGGAAGCTCCGTGACCGTGGTGACCGTGGCCAGGCTAAGCAGCCCCGGGACAGCGCTGGCTGCGCACGCGGCACACTGAAGCACACAGCTCTCCTCCCAGGGCTCAGCCGCCACTGCCGATCGCCTGGGTTAATAAGAGCAAATTTGATAACTTAGACAAATTGGGCCAAATCAGAGAGGAGCAAGTAGAAATCTGAGTAAGACTATATTCAATATATTAAGTCAGGAGCTGGCGCTGTGGCTCACTTGGTTAATCCTCCACCTGTGGCGCCGGCATCCCATATGGGTGCCGGGTTCTGGTCCTGGTTGCTCCTCTTCCAGTCCAGCTCTCTGCTGTGTCCCGGGAAGGCAGTGGAGGATGGCCCGAGTGCTTGGGCCCCTGCACCTGCATGGGAGACCAGGGGGAGGCACCTGGCTCCTGGCTTTGGATCAGCGTAGCTCCAACCATGGCGGCCATTTGGGAGGTGAACCAACAGAGGGAGGACCTTTCTCTCTGTCTCTTTCTCTCTCATTGTCTAACTCTATCTGTCCAAATATATATATATATATATATATTGTCAATAATCAATAGCCTTTCAAAAACAGAAAGCACCAGGCCAGCAGGAGTTTAGAAATAAAATTTGCTCCAAAGATCTTCCAGGGTAGAAGTCTCCCAGGAAAAGGCCCAGCCACCCACTGCAGAGCCCGGCTTCCCACCAAGTGCTCTGGGGCTGCGGCCCGGGTTCCAGCACACCCAGCCTGGCTTCTGCTGAGGAGGACACTGGCCAAAGGCGGGGCCAGCCAGCCAGCAGTGCGGGCGGCCGCAGTGAGCCCTGTCAGGACAGCTGCCTCGCAAGGGCGTGGCCTGGTGACCAGAGCCCTCCCACCGGGCCGCCCCCCAGGCGCCGTCCGAGACCCAGTCTCCATCCGCAGTCCACGGCTGCTGACAGGAATCCACTCGTGGTGAGCAGAAGACTTCGAGTTTCAACATCAAGTCCTTCTCAACCCGTAACAGGCCTCATCGATTCGAACTAAGCTCAGGACTTTGAGACTTGTAGAACGAGATGGAAGAGGAAAGCCAAGAGACCGCGCGTCTGACAGGGCTCTTCGGCCCTAACGACAGCTGTGGTCCCTGAGCGAGTGAAAATGCTGGCGTGGACCTGGTTCAATCAAAAATTGCTCTGCAGAGAGACATTGTTGAGAGAGTGAAAAAACAAGCTACAATTTGGGAGAAAACACTTGCAAAACACAAGTTTGATATAAAAAAAACAAGACAGATGACCCAACTGAAAGTGTGCGAACGATTTGGAGGTATCAGCCAGGCAGACGCCCAGAAGGCCGAGAAGCGTCTGGACAGATGCTCGGCAGCCTTTGTCTTAGGAGGCTGCCGCCCGCTCGCCAGGAGCGCCGAGCGCCGAGCGCCGATGGCGGGGGAACAGCAGCGGAGACCGGGCGCTGGCGGCTGGGCTGCACGGCGGTACCAACTCCTACGAGACTGAGTTTCCTGCAGAGCTCATCATAGTTCATGCGATCCAGCAGCTGCACTCCTAGCTGCGATTTTACTCAACTAATTTTTTTAAAGATTTATTTAGCTTATTTGGAAGCCAGACTTACAGAGAGAGAGAGAGAGAGAGATCTTCCATTCGGTGGTTCACCCCCCAAATGGCTGCGATGGCTGGAGCTGAGCTGACCCACAGCCAGGAGCCAGGAGCTTCTCCCAGGTCTCCCACGTGGGTGCAGGGGTCTAAGCACTTTGGCCATCTGCTGCTTTCCCAAGCGCATTAGCAGGGAGCTGGATCGGAAGTGGAGCAGTTGGGATTTAACTGGCACGCATATGGGATGCCGACACTGTAGGCGCTGCCTTAACACGCCATGCCTCAGTATCGGCCCCTCAACTAACTTTAAAAAAAAATGTCCACATAAAAACCTGGACAGAAATAAAAATAACTTTTTAAAAATTATTTTTATTTATTTGAAAGACAGAAAGAGAGGTAGAGCCAAAGAGAGAGGTCTTCCGTCTGCTGGTTCACTCCCCAAATGGCTGCAATGGCCTGAGCTGAGATGATCCAAAGTCAGGAGCGTCTTCCTGGCCTCCCACGTGGGTGCGGGGGCCCAGGGTCCTGGGACATGTTCCTCTGCCTTCCCAGGCCATGGCAGAGAGCAGGCTCGGAAGTGGAGCAGCCGGACCTGAGCCGGCGTCCATATGAGATGCGGCACTGTGGGCCAGGCTTTCACCTGCGGTACCACAGCGCCGGCCCCTAAGAAGTTTAAGCCGTCTGAATAAAGCAAGCCAACAGAGTAAGCAGCCCGGATTACGTGGGCCAGTGCTCAGCGAGACCCAACCTGCCCCAGCTGACTGAAGCGGAAGTGTGAACTGTGGCAAGGAAGCGATTGGCTGAGCGAGGGACAAGCCGCCACGGAGGAAGCCAGGACTGACGTCGTCACGGAGCGTCTGGCACGCGTGGACAGCGTTCACAGGGACTCTGCCCCCGGAGGGAGCGCTGCTTCCCCGGCTATTCTGCACCAGCAGCCTTACTCTGATGTCGAAACTGGGACATCGCAGACCCGGTCTCCAGAAAGGTCCCAACACACGGAACTCAGCCGCAGAGGAAAGGGGTCGGACACGATGACCTGTGGAATGTGTCCCAGACGTGCAAGGTTGACTTAACGTGAAAATCCACCCGTGCGGCGCTGTGTGATGTTACTGCAATGTGACGCTTATGGAACAATGGACAGGAGTCACATGACCGCCTCACCAGACAGGAAAAGTTCACTTGCAATTCAGCACCCTTCCTGATAAAAACTCTCAAGAAGTTTGGAAAGAAGGGATTCTCCTTCAAGGCTGTCTGTGAACACCCACAGCTGGCCTCGCACCCTGGGCACAAAATGGACGGTTCCTCCTCCACCCCGGAGTGAGACCCTGATGTCCGCTCCACCTCTTCCGTTCAGATCTCACCAGCGGTTCTGGCCAGAGCACTTGGCAAGGAGACGAGGGAAAGGGCACCAGGCTGGAGGGGAAGCGTTACCTCTGTCCCTGGGGCTGTGTCTCGGGCTAGGAAACGCCGTGGCGAGACAGTAGGCAGCAGTAAGCAGAAGGTGTGCTGAGAGACAAGGGTGTGAAAGGATTTCAGAGCTGGCCGAGTTACAACAGACACGAGGGGTAGATGGAAGTGATTCCGCTTTCGAATTCCAAGAAAGAAGCAGAGAAACCGGAGGTTTCCACCCAGTGCTGAGAACGGAGATGGGGGATTCAGACGCCACAGTCACTCGGAAGTTTCTAGCGACCGGAGGGCGCTGCTGCACGGGGCCGGCAGCCACGCTCGCGGGTCCACTGGCACGGGAGGCCTGCATGCGTGTGTTTCTGGCGCCTTTACTCCGAGGCCGCCCAGCCGTGCAGGGGCTGAGAGCGTGAGTATTCCGTGGCGATCAGACGCGCGGCGCCACTCATGGGCAGGGAGAGACGTGCAGGGCGCTTGCATGCGTGTTACCAGCTCTGGCGTTCCACGCAGGGCAGAACGACGGAGGCGGTCAGAGGGCTCCTGGGGAGGGGGAGACAAGGCCGTGAGTCTGCCCTGCACGAGGCCAGCGTGGGTCGCACCTTTCCTCTCCCATTTGACCAAATTCCCAGAGCGGGCAGCACCGAGAGCCGGCCCTGCTGTAACGCACGGACTCGGGATAGAGATGCACCAGGCAGGCTCCTCCACTGGGGCAGGTGCGCCGCCGGGTGGGCGGAGGGCGAGGAACACGTGGGAGCTCTCTGCGCCTCTTGCTCACTTCGGCTGTGAATTTAAAAGGAGGACAGCAGAGCCCCATGATGACAGGAAGCAGGTGGGCTTTACCCTGCACAGACGCGCCAGGACAGCATCCTGGGCTGGGAGTGCTGCATCCGTCACGGTGACCGAACCAGGTGTGCACCCGGGGGCGACTGCACGGAACAGCCCGCGGGAAAGTCTTAGCTGCACGCAAGCCACGTGCAGTACGTTGGATTTGAGAAATCGTATATTTATCTTTGACTCTAAGCCAGGAGGGCATAACTGCTCGGGGTCCTGGAAGGTGGAGGACGCCACTCGAGGCAGGTCACGGTGTGGCACGTGGCGGACAAGGGGAGTGGTCTGTTTCTCAAGACTGTGACCACTCAGTCAAGTGGTGTGGAAATGGGCAGTGGGCTTGATTTGGTAATGTTTACCCAAACGTTTGCTTTGGAGGACACTGCTAAGATATTGAGATTCAAACCTGAGTGACTTGCATGGGAAATTGTTAGAAACTCTTTCTGGAACTCCTAAGCTACACAAAGAATATTTGATAATTGGGACATAAGCTAAAAAAATTGGTATGAAAGCTACACCTCCTTTGCATCAAGCAGTAATCAGAGTGCCACAGAAGCTGAAGGGTTAATGCTAAGGCCCTGACTGGTGCATCCCTGTCTCCTGTCAGTCAGTGGCTGTTCTGACGGTTTCCGGACTCTCTTTTGGAGAGGCAGAAATGATTGAGAGAGCACTCGGGACAAGTACAAAAAGCTGAAAGAAGGGAAAGAATGGATTTGCCAGAAGTGCCGGACAGCAATGGTACACACACAGCTGAGAAGCCAGACTCTTCTGCGGGGGGAGACGTCCAACTTAGCTCTGAAACCACCTGCTAACTGAACGTGGTCTCCACAACGAGGCGTGTTCCAAAACCTGCTTCTCCCCAGACCTGTGCTGTGTGTTGTGTGAGTCCAAACCTCTGGGTTACGAGAGGACAGACAGCAGGGATTCACACCAAGACAGCAGGGATTCCCACTGAGACAGCGGGGGTTCCCACCTAGACAGCGGGGGTTCCCACCGAGACAGCGGGGATTCCCACCAAGACAGTGGGGGTTCCCACCGAGACAGCAGGGGTTCCCACTGAGACAGCAGGGATTCCCACCGAGACAGCAGGGATTCCCACCTAGACAGCGGGGGTTCCCACTGAGACAGCGGGGATTCCCACCGAGACAGCAGGACTTCCCACCTAGACAGCAGGGATTCCCACCGAGACAGCGGGGGTTCCCACCTAGACAGCAGATTCCCACTGAGACAGCAGGACTTCCCACCGAGACAGCAGGGATTCCCACCGAGACAGCGGGGATTCCCACCGAGACAGCGGGGATTCCCACCGAGACAGCAGGGGTTCCCACCGAGACAGCGGGGGTTCCCACCGAGACAGCGGGGATTCCCACCGAGACAGCGGGGATTCCCACCGAGACAAAAGGGGTTCCCACCGAGACAGCAGGACTTCCCACCGAGACAGCAGGACTTCCCACCGAGACAGCGGGGATTCCCACCTAGACAGCAGGGGTTCCCACCGAGACAGCAGGGGTTCCCACCGAGACAGCAGATTCCCACCGAGACAGCAGGGATTCCCACCGAGACAGCGGGGGTTCCCACCGAGACAGTAGGGGTTCCCACTGAGACAGCAGACTCCCACCAAGACATCAGGGATTCCCACCAAGACAGCAGGGGTTCCCACGCCCGAGGGAGCTGAGGCAGTGGGTGCCCAGCTACAGCCCAGTAAAAGGACGAGTTCATGTTTAGGGGTGGACATGGAGTTAACTAGATCTTGATCTTTGCGTTGCTCTCGAGTGGCTGTTACGGTCAGAAATCTTCCAGCCAATAAACCGATTTCTCTCAGGTGCTCGTGCCAAGTTATTTACTAAGTAAGGATGGTTTGAGCATTCCCCACGTTAACTTAATAACAAATATTTTCAACTGCAGAGTTCATGGACCTTTTTTTCCAAGAATTCTGAGACGCAGGAAAGGAAAGAGAGACCTCGGGAAGACTATAACACATATTGTCGCCAAAGTGATGACGACTGAGATGGTAAGACACGCCTTGTTCTTGTTCACGCACCTTCGGCTGCACCGGTCAGAAAAGCAGCCCCCCAGGCTCCTCCCAGCGGTTAGCCCAGGGCCGTCCGCTGAGGACTGACCCTGTTGCCAGGTACCTTGCTGGTTGCTAAGGTGACGATGCCACAGATGTGAGAGAGAACTTGAACCAGACCTGCAGCCATGGTTCTTTATACATTCAAGTGTGGCTGCAGTGTGGACCAGAGGCGGCTGCAATTGCAGCTAAACCTACAGGACAAATATAAATGTCACCAGCCATGAGCAAAAACGTCCTGCG